CAGACGATCAGGACATCACAGCGGAGGTGGGACCTGCGCTCAGACGATCAGGACATCACAGCGGAGGTGGGACCTGCGCTCAGACGATCAGGACGTCACAGGGAGGTGGGAACTGCGCTCAGACGATCAGGACGTCACTTCCAGGTGTTGATTTACGACTGGTTTTCAGTTCTTGGCGAACCTCTCACCATGACAGTAGGACTGGTTTTCAGTTCTTGGGAAAAATAGTAAAGTCACTAGTCAGTATTCTCAATTGTGAGTGTGGAATTACCAAAACCAGCTTCACATTTGTGCTATAATGTAAAGGGATGGGCATTAATGAGAAATTTCGTGGAGATCCTTAAGATAGACTCAAAATTGGTAAGAGAAAATAGTCTGAGAATGTCATCTGGACCTTCCTACTTTGTTTTCAACATTTTAATTTAAATTCATCATGAACAGCATTGGGTCTTTATGTAAATTTTAAGGTGACTCTTTTTTTTTTGAGACAGAGTCTCACTCTGTTGCCCAGGCTAGAGTGAGTGCCGTGACGTCAGCCTCGCTCACCGTAACCTCCAACTCCTGGGCTCTAGCGATCCTCCTGCCTCAGCCTCCCGAGTAGCTGGGACTACAGGCATGCGCCACCATGCCCGGCTGATTTTTTCTACATACTTTTAGTTGGCCAATTAATTTCTTTCTGTTTTTAGTAGAGACGAGGTCTCGCTCTTGCTCAGGCTGGTTTTGAACTCCTGACCTTGAGTGATCTGCCCGCCTCGGCCTCCCAGAGTGCTGGGATTACAGGCGTGAGCCACTGTGCCCGGCCTGTGTCACTTTTTATACCAGCTCCTTGAAAGAGTGAGGGGGTATCTTGCCCTGTAGAAACAAAACACAACTGCAGGGCTGGGAACATACGCGAAATGATGGTTTCCAGCACCGGCCAATGTCCCCGGGCAGAGGTTCTCGCGAGAAGGGCTGTGGAGAGGGGGCTGGGGCTCGCCCTGTCCTGCTCGGGGGTGCCCCAGATGGCAGCCCCGGCTTGAGGGAGGGACGGCTCCCCCTGTGGGCGCCCCCTCTCGTGGGGGCCTGGTGGCCACCGCACAGTGGCACCTCTCTCGGTCTCCGTCCCAGGGTGGAGGCCCGGCTGGTGGCGGAGATGCTGAGCGCGGCCGCCTGCGCCCAGGGCAGGAGCATCATGGAAAACCTCAAGGGCCGGAAGCAGCTGCGGCTGTCAGCCGCCAGGGCCTTCCTGGACAGCATCAGGTGCGGGCACGGCGGGGGGCCCGGGGACCCCCGTGCTCGGACTGTGGGGTGGGGGGGCTGTGGCCCAAAGGAGGGTCCCGGCCCGAGAGGGAGGGGCTGAGCCCGCTGGGGGGTTGGGGTCATTCGTGTGCTCAGCCCTCGGGGACAGACAGGGCGGCCGGGAGCGACAGGCAGGTGGGGGACAGGCGGTCCAGGTGCAGGGGCTGCCCCTGCCGGTCACCTGTCTGCCACCCTGCGGCCCGAGCTCGTCATGAGCCCGTCCTGGTGGGGGGCTGGGCACCCCCCAGGGCGCCCGAGGCAGCCCCGCCCCACCCGGCCTCCTGTCACCTCCGGCCCCTCTCAGGTTCGGGGGCGTCGCGGGCAGCAGGGCCCTGGTGATGCTGGCCGTGCGGCACTACTGGAACACCTGGCTGCCCCTGCTGTCCTCCGTGGCCAACAGGAGGAAGGCCAAGGCCGGCGTCCAGCGCATCATCGGCATCATCAACAGGCTGGACACCCGCAAGCAGGTGGGCCGGTGCGGCATGCCCAGGGTCTCCCCGAGAGGACAGGATGTGCGGGGCAGGCACGACCAGGACTCAGGCTCGGGACCAGGACAGCAGGCTGTAGAGCTGTGGTGGGAGGGGAGGGGGCGTGGGCGGCGCCGGTGGAGGTGGAGGACGGCTGTCTGACACAGAAGAGAAGGCTCCGCCCAGGGTTTGCAGACCCGCTCCCTGCCCGGCCTGACTCGGAAAGGCCTGAGCTGGGGCTCCACACTGCGGCCTGGCCCAGCCCTGGCGCCCTGAGTGTGGGGGTGGGCAAGGGCCTTCCGGGGCTGGCTACCCCCGCCCGGGGGGGCTGGGACCCAGCTCTGCCCCGGGCAGCCTCTGGAGCTGGGACAAAGAACAGGGCCCCGCCGGGCTGCCCTCCCGCCGCCCAGCTGCCCGCGAGTGGTGCCCATGGGCAGGTCGGGGTGCACAGGTTCAGGGCTTGGCCTCCCGCAGGCAGCTGGCACCTTTCCTGCTGCCCAGCGAGACCAGAGCCGGGCCTGTTGCTCGCGGCCACAGCAGGCCGATCATTGTTGGTGGCAGGTGTGAGGTTCTGGCTCGGTTCTCCGGCAAGTGCGTGTGCTCGAGGGCGGTCTGCGCACCTTCTGCAGAGAGGCGTCCACTCGCACCCTTTGCCCGTCTTCAAACGGGCTGTTTGTTGCTGTTGTGCTGTGGCAGTTTTCCGTGTCCTGGGTATCGTGTCCTCGTCAGACACCTGACGTGCTGGCGTTTCCTCCCTCTCCCTGGTCGGCTCTGGACTCCGCTCATGGAGTCTGGGACGCACAGGGTCCTTCGTTTCCATGGAGTCCGACCCGCCCAGCCTCTCCTCTGCTGCCTGTGCTTCTGCACTCTCACCCACGAGGTCACCACCAAGCCCAGCACCACGAAGATTTCCTCCCAAGTTTTCTTCTTAGGGTTTTATGGCTTTCGCTCTGAGGGCTACATCTTTTAAGCATTTTGAGTTAGTTTTTATGCGTGCTGCAAGGTGAGGGTCCAGGTTCATCCTCGTGTGCATGGACGTGAGGGTCCGTTCCCGGGCTCCCTGTTCCCTCCGCCAGCCTACATGGGCGTCAGCGTGCCAGCGCCGCGCTGCTCCGACTGCCACGGCTTTGTGCTGTGTGTCCAAGTCGGGAGGTGTGAGTGCTCCAGCTGGATTCTTTCTCAGGATTGCCTCGGCTATTTGGAGCCAGTTTCCATTCCGTATAAATTTGAGGACTGATTTTTAAAGAAAGGCTGCTGAAACTCTGAAAGGGATCATGCTGAATCTTCAGACCACTTTGGGTAGAGTTGACATCTTAATGATGATTCTTTCTATGCACAAACATGCACACACGCGCACACACACGCACACGCATGCATGAGAGGCGAGATGTTTCATTTATTTAGGTCTTTAATTTGTTTCAGCAACACATTATAGTTTTCAGCATATAAGTCTTTCACCTCTTTGGTTGATTATAAATAGGAACGCTCTCTGTCTTAGCCAGGGCCGCCGTAACAACATACCAGAGACTGGTATGTATTCATACAACACCAATTTATTGCTCATGGTTCTGGAGGCTGGAAGTCCAAGACCCGGCTTCCAGCTTGGCTGGGCTCTGGTGAGGGCTTCGTCCTGGCCCGTGGCAGCCTCCTCCCTGCATCCTCATGGTGCACAGAGGAGAGCGTGAGCTCTGAAGGCCCCACCCTCGGGCTCACCTGACCCTAATACCTCCCGGGCCCCGGCCACTCAGGATTAAGGGTCAACATAGGAATTTGGCAGGGACACAGCTCAGCCTGTAGCACACTGCTGAGTTCCTTCTGGGAGTGTTCATTGCTTGTGAATGAAAACACTACCTGCCGGGCACGGTGGCTCACGCCTGTCATCCCAGCACTCTGGGAGGCCGAGGTAGGAGGATTACTTGAGCTTAGGAGTTCGAGACCAGCCTGAGCAAGAGCAAGACCCCGTCTCTACCAAAAATTGAAAGAAATTAATTGGCCAACTAGAAATATGTAGAAGAAAATAGCCAGGCATGGTAGTGCATGCCTGTAGTCCCAGCTACTTGGGAGGCTGAGGCAGGAGATCACTTGAAGCTCAGGAGTCTGAGGTTGCTGTGAGCTGTGATGACGCCATGGCACTCTAGCCCGGGCAACAGAGCGAGACTCTGTCTCAACACACACACAGACACACACACACACACACACACACACACACACACAAGTGATCGTATACTGCGCTCAATTTTCCTGAATTCATTTATTACCTCTAGTACCTCTCCTGCGGATTCGTAACGATTCTGTTCCCCCGAGATCATGTCCTCTGGGGACGGGCAGTTTGCCTCTGCCTGTCTAACTCGGACTCCTTTATCCTGTTTCTCATCAGACAGCTTCGGCCGGAGCCTCGGTGCGGGCCGTGCAGGGTCCCGCCTCTGCGCTGCGGTGGGGGTGTCTGCCTTTCACGCCGCGCACGGCGTCAGCTGCGGGTTTTCCACAAAGGCCTTCGTCTTGCCGAGGAGCTTTCCCTCTGGTCCTAGTTCTCTGGGGTTTGTGTTGTCGAAGGGTGTTGGGGTTTGTCCAAGACCCTCCGCATTGACTGAGGTGATGGTGCGGCATTTCTCTGCGGTCCTGCTGGCTGCTGGACCGCCCTGCAGTGCTGGGCAAGTCCCTTGGTCCCTACGGACAGTCTGTTTGAGGCACCGTTGGGTTCGAGCTGCTCGTGTTGTGGGGGTGGTTTCCTTGTGCCGTCACTCTCTGTTCCCGGGACGTCTTCACCTGGGGTCGGCGTCAGAGTGAGGCTGGCCTCCCAGGACGGGTGAGGGAGTGTCTGTCTCCAGGGTTTGCCACCAAGCGCTTCCGAGAATGTCGGTGGGTCCGCCGGCCACCCGTCTGGCCCGGGCCCTCCTCACCGGGAGGCGTCTGATCTCCGATCCATCCCTGTACGTGTCCAAGGTCGGCCGAGCTGTCCTGCTGCTTCTGGAGTCCGTTTACCTCGTTCGTGTGTTTCAGGGAATTTGTCTGTTTCTTCTAGATGATCTGATCTGTTGGAGCGTAATTCTTCTGTAAGGTTCTCTCACGATCCTTTTCCTCTCCCTGCGGCTGGCGGTTGTGGCCCTGCTTTCCTCCCTGCCCTCCTTCCGTCTGTCTGGCCAGAGGCTGGACAATTTGTTGATCTTTGAAAGAACCAACTTTCAAACAATAGGTTTTCTCTGTTGTTTTTCTACTGTCTGTTTTATTTTCATCTCTGCTTTAATCTTTATCAGTCCCTTCCTTCCGCTTTTGGGTTTAGATTGTTCTTTTCCTATCCCCTTAAGATACAAAGTTGGATTATGGACTTGAGACCTTTCTTCTTTTATACTGCGGCCCGTGCAGCTGTGGACCGGCCTCCGAGCAGAGCCGTGGCTGCAGCCCACACAAGTCCTCCAGGACGGCTTCTGTCCCACTGGTGAGAGCCGCGAACCGGCTCAGGTGTTTCATCTTGCCAGAAAACTACACGTTACGTTAGGGGAACAGTCTCCCCGTGCCTGCGTGCACATGTATGTGTGTATGCATGTGTGCATGTGTATGTGAGTGTGTGTGTGTGCACCCATATGTCCGTATGCATGTGTGTGTGTGCATGTGTGTTGTAGTGTAATTAACCTCACGCTGGAAAGCCTTTTCTTACAATTGAAATATGATTTTGTTGAGACTTAGTTTTTCAGAAATTTAGCTGCAATTTCTGCAATTAGATTGGGGCCCGAATGAAAAGCAAGTGGTGAGAAGACGAAACGCAACTCTGAAATGCGTGCGCTGCTTTTTGTTGCGCCTTAGGACAAAGGGAAGACGCTGCTCCTGCACCAGTGGCCCACCTCGGACTTCCAGAGCAGCGGGGCCACCGAAGGCCACTTCCTCCCAGGTGGGTGGACGCGAAGCAGACGGATCCACGGGCTCCTGGGCGCAGGGAAAGGGAGGGGCCTGCGAACAACTCACACTCTTGGCGCTTGTAAATTCCGCTCCTTGATAAAGCCGCCTTAACCACGCCGGTCACCACGGCAACGTCGAGGGAGCATTCACTGCCGGGAGGTCACTGAGTGCTTTGCGCGGGTAACCTCGGGGATCCCGGTCTGCGCACACACAAGCAGGAGCCGGCACCCTCCGGTCCTCGTCTGGGGCCGGGCGGCTGAGTCCAGGGCAGGCGCCTGACCCCGCGCCGAGGCTGCCTGGGACCTTGGCTCGGCTGTGCCGACAGACAGTCCGGTTTGCACTCCGCGCACAGGGTGGGCACCTCCTCCCGCACGGAAAACCCAGAGGACCTAGAGGACCGTATTTCAGAAAGCTCATTCGTGTTTATGGGAAAATAGGATTATCTGCTAAAGCAGGATCATCCCTGTCAACCTAAGGGTTCTAACATGTATTTGGGAAACCTCTAGGGCTGAGGAATAGAGCGTCCTGCCTTCAGTATTGCAGTTTGTTTAGGATACGGTTGATTTAGGGTCATGGACACAAACACAGCCGTGTGAGTTGCATGTCGAGCCGAGCGCCGGCCCGGCAGTGTGAGCATTGGCTGGTCTGTAAGGGCGGAGGCGTGGGCTGGCCAGCAGCCCAGACCCAGCACGTCTGGACGTGGAAGAAGAGGCCATGCGGTGAGCATCACGCCTCTGGGGAGAACCTGGAAGTCACACTACATTTTACTACATTCTGCAAAATGAGAATTTTTAAGTAACTTTAAAAATTAAAATTCTAGGTAAAAAAAATCAGAAAGTAGAATTGAACATAGCAGATATTTTGTGGAAAGAGGGAGACTTTCAAATGTATAAAAATATGGCCTGGTGCAGTGACTCACGCCTGTAATCCCAGCACTTTGGGAAGGCCAAGAGTTGAGCCCAGGAGTTTGAGACCAGCCTGGGCAACACAGTGAGACCCCATCTCTACAAAAAGTTTTTTTAAAAAATTATCCAGATGCAGTGGTCGTGCACGTCTGTGGTCCCAGCTACTAAGGAGGCTGAGGCAGGAGGATCAGGGGAGCCCAGGAATTGGAGGCTGCAGTGAGCTGTGATAGCGCCACTGCACTCCAGCCCCCACAATGGGGTGAGACTCTGTCTCTAAAGAAAAAAAGTAAACACATATTTAAAACTTCTTACTGATAAATTTTTGTCATAAATAACGATAAAAATCTCGGGAGACGTTTCAGCAGAGTCGCCGCTGCGTGCTGCTGGGCTGGCGCGCGCCCTGTGCGCGTGTCGCGGCGGCAGCACACGCCTGCCTGCCTCGGCCGGCGCCGCGCGGGCTCTGGCGGGCGGAGGCGCGCCCGCGGTCGCCTGCGGGACCGGGGAGCTCTGCGGCGGCCCAGGTCCCGGGCCCCGCTCCTCGGCCGCTCCCGCGCACGCCGCACGCCGGCGGCCGTTTCCGTGGGAGCGGTGCGCAGAGCGGGCCAGAGACCGCCGGCCACGCCAGGGGCGGGTGCCCGGCTGCGGTGGCCGCGCCTGCGCATTTCTGCTTGAACCCCTGACCCTGCGCCCGGCGTGCGGAGCACGTCCGTGACAAAACAGGCCGGGCACCTGGCCCCGCGACTGTCGCCTGTCACCGCGCTGCCTGAGACCCGGGCCTTCCCTCACTGAGATGGCGTGTTCGGGATCCGTGATTCCGCCTCTGTGCTCCTCGCCTCCGAGCTGGTGTGGGGGGGGGAGTCAGGGCATCAGTAGTCATGGGCAGCAGGCTCCATGGGAGCCCCCCACCTGGGTCCTCCCTGAGGCCTCCTCTCCCCCTCCGTCCTCTCCCCCTCCCTCCCTCCTCTCCCTCCCTCTTCTCCCCCTCCTCCATTCCTCCCTCCCCTCCTTCCTCCACCCCCTCCTCCTATCCCTTCTCTCCCAATCTCCCTCTCTCTCCTCCCTCCTCATCCTCTTCTCTGCCTCTCTCCTCTGCTCGCATCCTCCGTCCTCTCTCTCTCTCTCCTCCCTCCCATTCCTCCCTCTCCTCTCTTCTCTCCTCTCCTCATCCTCCCTCGCTCTCATCCCCTCCTCTCTCCTTCCCTCCATCCCTCCCTCCTCTCTCTTCTCTCTCTCCT